AACTCTTAACGGTCAATAGAGGGTGAAAATGCTTCCACATCTAATGTTTTCATACTAAGACAATAATATCATATTTCAACGCGTCGGATTTATGAAGACATGATCAAGGTCACCCCCAGCGCAAACAGCAAATTTGCGACCCGTCTACAAACCATTTTTACTACACTCGCAGAGCAGAGAGAATCTTGTCTCTGAAACTAGAGAAGCAAAATTGAAGAATGGCCGACTTAAAAGCATTGCATGAAACAGAACAGATGAGACAATATTTCAGTCTACCCCATTTACTAGCGAGATGAATGTCAAAACTTTGTTTCCTAAAGCCTCTCGTTAACTAGCTTCCTCTCCTTGTTAGAAACAGCGGCTTCATCTATACTAATTGCTAGCATCGTGTGTTGGTTGGTAATTATGATTGAATCAAGAACCTCGTGTAATGCTTTTTGTTTCGCCCCAAATTAGTATTAATTAGTTCAACGTTTAAAGGCTTAGATTATATCAATAGATTGGGCATCAATCAGTTTTCATATTGCTTAGCAATTAATATGACGTGTTTTTTTTTAATAATAGTATTATCAATTAATGACAATGGTATTATAAATACATTTGGACAACCAATAAATATCCTAAAAGTCCATATTATTATTAAACGGGCGAATAAATCTTCTACAGTTAGTTCTTTTCATGGCGCACATCGCCAATTGTCGATAGAATGCGCATTACAGTGTTTGCGCACTTGGACCAGTAAATCTAATCCTTCTAAATCTCCTAAACACATTGTTATTCTGACCAATCATCCGAAAAACTTCATCCCTTAAACCCGCAATCTCTGTGTTATTTTGTTCAATCTCCAAAGATTGATTAAAGTCAAATAATGCGTTTTCATAATTTCTTAGTATACGATGAATTTTTCCTCTTTCGTTTAATGCATCTACATTATTGGGTTCAACCTCCAGCGACCTATTGAGATCAACCAATGCGCTGTCATATCGTTCAAGTCTGCGATAGACTTCTGCCCTTCGACATAATGTTGTCGCATCATCTGGATCAATCTCCAAGGACCTATCGATTTCGGTTAATGCCATGTCATACTGTTCAAAACAGAGACAGACGGCCCCTTTTAAGCTCAGGGCAACCGCGTCATTTGGTTCAATCTCCAACGAATCATTGAGATCAGTCATCGCATCATAATATTTACCAAACACCAAATAAACATTTCCTCTCATTTTCAAAGCATATGCACTATGTGGTTCAATATCTAGTGAATTGTTAAGATTAGTCAAGGCATTATAATGTTGGCCAAGCCTGAGATAAGTAGCTCCTTTTACACTCAATGCATATGCGTCGTCCGGTTCAATCTCTAGTGATTTGGTGAGGCTAATCAATGCATCGTCATACTGTTTAAGATTAAGATGGATATGTCCTCTTATATTTAAGGCATCTTTGTTATTTGGTTGAATTTCCAGTGATTTGGTGAGATCCTTCAATGCTTCATCATACCGATTAATATTGAGATAGACACTTCCCCTTATTTTCAACGTGTCCGAGTTGTTTTCCTCAATCTCCAAGGATTTATTGAGATCGTCCAATGCATCAACATATTCTTCACGTATAAGACGTATATGTCCCCTCGTTCTCAAAGCGCGCGCATCATTTTTTTCAAGTTCCAACGATCTATCAAGATCGTGCAATGCAGTAGAATATTGACCAAGCATGAGATAGACCTCTCCTCTTATACCAAATGTCTCTGCGCTATTCTTTTCGATCACCATTGAGTTATTGAGATCTTTCAGAGCATTAGAATACTGTTGAAGTTTCAGATATACATCTCCTCTCACTCTCAATGCATATGCATTATCCGGTTCAATCCTCAATGATTCATTAAGGTCATTTAATGCATCACGATACTTCTTACGTTCCAGATAAATTTTCCCTCTTCTACTCAATGCAACCGCATTATGAGGTTCCAATACCAATGATCTATTAATGTCATTAAATGCATCATCATACTTCTTAAGTGTGCAATAGATGACTCCTCTGTTTCTCAATGTCCATGTATCATATGGTTTAATCTCAAATGCTTTATTGAGATCATTTAACGCACTGTCATACTTCTTAAGTATGCGATAGATATATCCTCTTCTGCTCAATGCCCATACTTCATTTGGTGCAATGTCTAGTGACTTGTTGAGATCATAAAATGCGTTGTCATACTTCTTAAATATGCAATAAATACTTCCCCTTCTACTCAAAGCCCACGTGTTATTCGGTTCGATGGCTAATAATTTGTTAAGATCGTTCAATGCATCATTATACTGTTCATGATCAAGATAAATTTCTGCTCTTCTACTTAGTGCAACTGCATTCTTCGGTACAGTGTCCAATGATTTATTGAGATCGTTCAATGCATTGTGATACAGACCAAGCATGAAACAGACGTCTCCTCTTACTCTCAATGCATCCGCATGATTAGGCATAATCTTCAATGATTTATTAAGATCATTCAATGCGTTGACGTACTGATTGAGTGTTCTATAGACGTCTCCTCTTATACATAATAAATGCGCGTTCATTGGTTCAATCATCAATGCTTTATTGAGATCGTTCAATGCATCAGAATACCGTTTAACATCAAAATAGGCGCGTCCTCTTTGGCCCAATGCAACTACGTTGTTTGGTTCGATTGCCAGTAGTCGACTGAAATCGTTCAATACATTATATTGATCCCGCATGCGATAATATTGATCAAGCTTACGATAGGCATCCCTCCTTCGTTTCAAAGTATGTACATCATATGGCTCAATATCCAATGATTTATTAATATCGTCCAATGCAAGGTCATACTGACTAAGCATGTAATAGACTTCTCCTCTTATTCTCAACGTCCATGCGTCGTTTTCTTCAATTTCTAACGATTTGCCGAGATCGACTAGTGCGTTATCATACTGGTCGAGCATGTAGTAAACATTTCCTCTTAGTCTCAATGCTAATACATCATTTGGATCAATCATCAACGATTTACTAAAATCGTTCAATGCATCGTAATGTTTCTTAAGCAGACAAAAGATTTCGCCTCTCTTATTCAAGGTCCATGTGTTGTCTGGTTCGATTTCCAATGATTTCTTGAAATCACTCAGCGCATTGTCATATTTCTTGAGCAAACGATAGACATTTCCTCTTCTTCTCAATGCGATTGCGTCATCGGGTTCAATCGTCAATGAATTATTAAAATCATTCAAGGCATTGTCATATTGTTCGAGCATGCGATAGACTTCTCCTCTTGCCCTCAATGGCCATACATTACGTTGTTCAATCTCTAATGATTTGTTTAGATCACTCAATGCATCAGCATACTGGCCTATCATACGATAGATTTCCCCTCTACTATATAATGCCCATGCATTATTCGATTCAATCTTTAGTACTTTATTGAGATCCTCTAATGCCTTGTCATATTTCTTGAGAATACCATGGATATCTATTCTCCTACTTAATGAAAATACATCATCCGGTTCCAAATCCAGTGATTTGTCGACATCATTCAATGCATCGTCATACTTTTTGAGCAAGTAATAGATTTCTCCCCTTATTCTTAATGTCCATATATCGCTCGCTTCAATCTCCAATGATTTACTGAGGTCTTTCAATGCGTCGTCATACTGACCAAGCAAGCAATAGACTTCTCCCCTTCTGCTCAACGCCACAGCGCTATTTGGTTCAATTTCCAATGACCGATTGAGATCATTCAACGCGTTGCTGTGCTGATTGGTCATACGATATACAACTGCTCGGCTTCTCAATGCCCGTGCATCATCCGGTTCATTCTCTAATGCTTTATTGAATTCGCTCAATGCACGGTCAAATTGGTTGAGCATAAGATAAGCATCCCCTCTTGTTCCCAGAATAAACCCATCATCTGAATTATTATCCGTTGGCCTATCAAAATCATCCGTTGTATTGTTCGAATGTGAATAAAAAGACCATCGTGATGTAGATATTGATGTCGTGTCCGAAAATGAATAGCATGACCACCGCGATCTCGATGTATTGACAGATTGATTCAACATTCGATAGATTTCAATTTCCAATGCTCTGTTAAGTTCGCCTGTAGAATTCTCATGCAAAAAATCGCCTAATGGATTTTGAATTAAATCGTCTGAGAGTGTTTCTGCCTGTTTCAGCATCAGCTCTAATCTTTCGTGAACTTCTTTACAAGGTGGTCTCTCGTCAGGATCCTCAGCCCAACATTCCGAATACAATTCAGAATAGTCAACGGGTGTTCCGGAAACTGGCTCATCACGTAAACCATGTAATCGAAATCTTTTAATGTCTTCAACTGTTGCTAAAGCCTGGCATGGGGGTTGTCCACTGGAAATTTCCCACAGAATTACTCCCAGGCTGAAGATATCAGATTTTGCTCCACGTTCATGAAAACCTTCAGTAAGCACTAACGGATCCATGTACGCTATCATTCTTTCATTTTTGGGCAAGCAACCTGTCATTGTATCTGATAGTCCGAAATCAGAGATTTTAGCAACGCCATTGCAAATGAGAATACTATTGGAGTACTAGTAGATTGCAAATTAACAGTCGGATAATCAGCATTCTTGTCGTTTGTGACATTTTACAACGTCATGGTTCGTTGTAAAAGTTAATGCAGGATCAAGACAAGATGGTTATATATCATACCAAATTCCTATGAATGATATCCAATTCATGTAAATGCTTTAATCCATCGGTAATACCCAAGCCGAGTGCAATCTTATCTTTCCATGACAATACTCGATAACATTCGTCCAAATGCCTGCGTAATGTCCCACCATCTGCAAACTCAAAAATCATTTGGTAATATCCTCTTGCATCTGTCAAAATAATGCGCGTGAATAATTATTGTAAATTGGGCAATTAAGGCGCATCTGCCAAGTATACTAATACCTTTTTTTAAACCGAGAAACTGAATAAGACTCGGATGATTATTGACCCGTCGGTAATCGCGAAGCTGAATGTTACAATAATAAAGTGAGAATTGGCTACACATGACGGAAAGCAATAAAATAGTTTGCTACATACCTCTTTAACAAGTTGCTCATAATATGCTTCTTCCTGTCTTGTGTCGAGCGACTTTATTGCAACAGGAGTTCCAGAATGTCTCACCAATGCTTTGTACACAACGACAAATCCTCTAGTAGCAATTACAGTGCGGTCCAACAAATCTGCGTCTTGATAATGTTGGATATGTCCTTCGTGAATGCTCTCTTCTAGCCATTGTTTGGGATTGTCAGAAAACATGGTTTGCAATATCTCTATCCCTGTCTCTGTCGCATCGACGAAGGATATTGACGATGGCGATGTTGACGGTGTTGATGATTATGATGAAACTATTACTATGATGTAATGTATTGTTAATTCTTTTTTGGAATCATTCATGTTTGTGTAAAAACTTTAATAGACCTATTATTACAAAGTACTGGTATAACAACTAGGGTAACACGAATTCATGATGCCAACCACTCGAGACCCATAACAAGATAGGTCAATTTCAGCAAATTATGCGGTTGTTATGGATTTACGACATATTGATTCATGAGTGTTAGCGATCATACAAAAAGGATCTTTGATAAGTGGAACTCGATTGGGACGGCTCTTTTTAATGATTGACTATTGGTTTCACCAACTGCTAATACTAACCCTCAAGTGCGGACTAAAAACTACCAATTCAAGAATCTCTAATAAAAGTGTTTGGTTGCGGTCTGCCGTATTGAGATTAAGATTACCTAATCGTCATATCAAAACGGCTTTCACTGCAGCATTGTCTGAATGAGTACAAAATAATTGATTCTTTCGTTTTGATAATTACAGACTACACATGCATGCCACAACTGCTGTAGATGATATGTACAAAAAGCTTTATGTAAACGCCGCTTGACAGGTATACAGATAAACCCTTTTGAGGACTTTCAAATTAAGTTCGAACGTTCAAAGTAAAAGTTTCAAAATGTAATCGTTCGAAAAGTTCTCCAATTCGGATGCGAAAGATCAAATGACCACGAAAAAACTCATTAATAAATAAGGAACATTCAGTATGTCAACCTGGTCTTCCTGCTTCTCAAGGAGATTCTCAAGTTTTATGTCCTTGTTATTTTATAATTAAATCCAACTATTGAAATGATATTATCCACAGCAAATTTTATTCGAAATTCACTGAAATTCGATGCGACTAAAAATGCGATACGCGATTAACGATTTATCAAAAACGCATTCACACTCGTATTCATTGTCAATGCGAATAGTCAACGTCAATTTCTTTATGACAATTTCTAATTAACCGCAGTTAATTTGATCATTTTACATCCGCTTTGCGAAATGGACTTCATAATACCGTATACAGTCGAACCCCGTTATAACGAAATGTGTTATAACGAATTTTTGTTATACCGAAGCAAGTGTTCCTCCCCCTTTTTTTCAATATTTAAATTTGATCGTTATTACGAGGTTTAATAGTAAACCTCGTTGTTCCGTTACCGAAGTTCGGTTGCAGGATTTTTGTATATTGCCCTAGTCGCTAAGTTAATCACGTGATATAAGGTTTAAACATGGTGATTGGTTGTAGCAATTAAAAATTTTCATCAGTGCTGTACAGTGATTGGTTAATACAATTTCACGTGAATATGAATATTCTGCATCGTTTGTAGGCCAAGAGTATTTTTGTGTTAATAGTTAATTATGTAAAGCGTATCATGTAATGAACGGCATTTGGTAGTTTTTTTCTTCATCCGTAGCAATCATTATATTTTTGTTCAGCTAATAATATTAATATACCGAATATTACTTGACTTTAGGCTAGACTTCGTTACAAAGAGAGTGTTCGTTTTACCAAATTTCTCGTTATAACGAATCATAGATGAGGTCATAACACAAGTCATATTGATTTTTCTTTGACATTGCGACAAGGAACAACAAAACAGACAAACAGCAAAATTTTTTTGTGTGCTTTTTGCGGTTTGAGGTGTGTAAATATAAACAGTCACATAGCTGTGGTAGATTTTTTACATTCGGTTTCACAAGAAAATTTTACGCCACGGACTTAATAATAAATAGTACAAACGATGTCGTGACAAACCCCACCGTTTACACTTACGCGTTATCGGACAATGACTGCAGTATTAAGAACAAACGAGTACTCGAGATTCGTGGTATCTAATAGAGAAAAAAGACGTGCATGATTACTTCAAGAAAGTCGAGGCCCATAGTTGACAGTTGAAACATTATCTGAATTATTGTCTGGTCAATTACTGAACGCTCTCCCGCGATACAATATTTATTATTGGAAACAAAGAATGTGAGAGTATGAATGAGGCTGATTTTTAGAATACAAGCGAGATTATAAAACCCATAACAAAATAAATCTGTTCAAATTCCTTTTTTTTATTTTAATTTCTCAACTTGATGGAAATGGGTTCCTTGTCCAATCCAAAGATGCATGTGCATGTTGAAAAATCTCCAAGTTTAAAAAAAGCTGTAATTCTCTTTGGGTTGGGAACAATATTTGTAACATTTCCAGTCTTGTTTCCATGAAAATCAATAACTGCATAGTCATTTACAGCAAGGAGAGAGTACTTTCCATTTGAGCCAAATTGGTCAATGTGTTCTGTGATCCCATCATCATTCACCAACAATTCAAGGCCCCATTGAAAAGTTCCATTGAGATAGAAATCAACTTCTCCATGAATGTGTTCAGTGCTAGCACAAGTTGGAGGAGGAAATACTTTTGAAAGTTCAGGACAAATGGCACATGTTGGCTCTGTAGACAAAGCAAGGCCTTCCATAAAAAGATGTTTGAATGTAGCTTCTTTGGGGAAATCATCTTATTCACTGTTGACTGTTGAAGCAATGATGCAGACATGTTTCCAATGGCATTGACAATTAGAGAATGGAGTGAAGATGGTTTGGTGCAAGAACGCTTTGGGAAAAACCACTTGCTATAATACTTCAGAGCCAAGGGGGATGAGAATTGAAGTGTATATCCATCATTTCCAAGTGCTAAAATACCTGCCTTCATAAGGCTTGTGTAACACCTTGAATCCTTGTCATCTACATCCAGCATGTCATTGATAGGAGCAATAATTGGTTCATCAATGAGACACTTGATAAGTGCATTCTTGAGCACCTGACTGATTGGCCCTGAATGCTGGCTACCAAAATATCTTGCCATTTGCTGCACAACACTATCTGATAGGTAATATGTAATCAAATCTGTTTCAGATGGAGAAGGGTCCTTGGCAAATCTTGTTGTGAGAGAATCAACAGAAATCTGTAATGCACCAATAAGTCCATTACATTCTCAGATTAGCAGTTTCTTGACATTTAATGTGCTCATGTTAGTGGGCAACCCAGTAGGTAAATCAAGAAACTGATTTGCCTCATCATCACAAAGCAGGAAATCTGTTCTGCCAAGCTTCCAAAGATATTGGAATTCTGCAGGGCTTTCTACTCCCCCAGCCAAGGAATGGGTTGCAGCAATGAGGAATTTTATGTTTGATGGTATCAACATTGGGGTGACTTTGATGAGTGTACTCCAAAATGATTTGTCATGGTAAAGTGCTTGTGCATCATCCAACATGATTATGTACTGTTGTTTACTTGAAAAAGTAAACACCTTTCCCAGAGTATCTGTTACTTTACCTGCAAAAAGGTCATCAATCGAAAGTTTGGTGTTGATGCAGGAGATGTAAATGCAAACATACTGTGGATAGCAATGAATGAATAATGACAACAATGAAGTCTTTCCAGATCCTGCAGGTGATATGAAGAGAAGAAACTTGCCACCACTGGCTGTGGTAAATGTCAGAGTATTATATAGTTTTTGAATCAATGTATCATGTGGAAGGTGTGGTAGCTGTAGATCAATTCCGTCCAAGTAATGTAATAGTAAGAAAGAAGATTGTGTTCCATATCCAGTTGCTAAAAAAATGCATGGCAAGAGGAAAGCATCACCTAGTCAGATGTATGCCATGAGCCCCAAAGATACTGAATAGTGACATAATAATAAATTTGTGAAAGTATGTTGCAAATATGAAGGTTACTCACCAATGACTATGGAGGGACACAAGTATTAGTATGGATATGGATGGGTGGGTGAGTAAGCAGATTTCACACCAATTACAGAAGAACAACAATAAATTCCACAATGGTTGAATATATGAATATTAATGTGTAGGAATAGATATAATGAATATGATAAAATATCAGAATGAGCAGTCAAGTAAATACCAAGGAATGCATTTTGACCACCCTCCATTACCCTCATTATCATGGCTACTCCATGAGCCCTGTTGCTTCTCTTGTACCTGATGCATGTCATAATGCATTCAACTATTTTCCCTCCACTTCTTTATTTAATTCATAATTATAATGTCTCTTGCCCTTCAAGTTCAGAATTTATGTTTCTTACCTTCTCCTAAGAAGGTGGTTTGACAAAAGGAATGCAAGAGAAGAAAGTATAAATTAGTCTGCCCCAACTCCAATGTATGTCATAATGCATTTGAACTATTCTCTCCATATCCATATTAATATAACCTAGCTTTGCTATGATTCAGCCCTGCCATTTACTAAACTCTATTCTATACTCCTCCCAATGTTGTGTTTGTAATGTATTCCAACTATTCTCTCTCCATTACTGCTCTACAAACCCATATGTCTACAATCTAGCCCTGCCCCAACTAATAATAATAATGCCCAACTGTCTCTCTTAGCACAAAACCAGTAACAGTATGCAAACTATTTTCCCCATTGCTCCTCTATTACTATCCTCTCAATAAATGTGTGTTGCAGCTTACTTACCAAGTGCTTCAAGATATTCCTTATAGCAATCCATAGTTGCTCTGGGATGGTCCTGATGATATTTAAGGTATATTTTTTATATGCAGTGCTGGCCTCCTTAACAGTTGCTTTTGGATGGTCTTGACCATATTTCATACTGAAGTCCACCAAGTTCAGTGAGTAGTCCACATCCATTGCATCCATGTCTATAGATGTGTTTTGTATGAAAGATGGTGATAAAAGAAGAGTTGCAATCTGCACCTGCCCTGTTTATACTAATACTAATATGTTTTACTTACTACAGTCAGACCTCTCTAAATGCAACCTCTCTAAATGCACACACTATATAAACTCTCCATAAATGCACGGTATGGTTCAGTCCCAGCTTATAAGAACATTATATATTTTGCTCTCTGTAAATGCACACTCTCTCTAAATGCACACTTTTGGATTTTTTTCACTATGGTCCCGACAACGTGCATTTAGAGAGGTCTGACTGTATAATATACAATTTCGAGAACATGATTCCGCAACCAATAGAAGTTTAAAGAAACAAATCGAGATATGTACCCCCTATCAGTACGATGTACCCCGGGTACTAAAACGAACAAGGGAGATACCCGGGGTATTCGTGTCAGAGAAATACGGTAATTATTTGATGGTTCTCTTTTAGCAAGTTTAGGAAAAGTTATTTGTTAAAGTTTTTAAAAGTTATACTTACCTGTTAGATGCGAACATTGACAGCTGAGACTGAAGTTCAATGTCATCTATTTTTCGATAAAAATACGCAATTAGCAAACTGGTGCGCCTGCCATAAAATTATGGCTTAACGGTCCAATTATTAAATGAAAAGTCGTTGAAGGCGTAATGTTATATGGCATCAATAATATGTTAATTAGACGTTAATAATTTATAATAATAACAGATAGAATGCTCTATCAGCAATGAAACCAATTATCAAAACAAACCTCATTCACTGGGAGCAGCCGAGAATAATTTCTTGAAAGACGCATCGAGATTACTTGTCCTTTTTAACTGACATCCTTGTTCTGACCAAATCGCAATCTGACCCAACTCGAAATCGGGTCATTATATTTCGACAACATTACGTAAACAATGTTAATGATGTTTAGACAATGTGCCTATTTCGAATTGGGTCAGAGTACGATTTAAGTCGGACATCCTCTTCGAAAATAAATAATTGTTAGCTGCTGTCCGGAGCGGTCGTTGAACGGAAATGTCTACTACTTACAGAGGTTGAAATAAAGAGGACAAGCCAGCTTAAAGAGTTAGAGTAATGTTGTGTCTGAGTTTGGGACCTGCGAGAACCCAGTCACTCAGTCCAGAACTCGGTTGTAGAACTGAGACAGGTCCCCAACTGAGATGCAACGGTAACAAGATTAAGCGGATGCTAGAATATCAGATTAGACAGAAAAATATAGTTTAACTTTTAATTTTTTGTTCTTAGTTAATAAATGATTAGCACAACATACGAGTGTAATCTTATACCTTAGCAGTAGGAGAATAAAAGCCGTCTTTAAAACTGGTACGTCTTAATTGAGGTGGGTGTAAGCAAGACCACGTTTAGAACGCAGAATGCTCTCCTGACGTAATCAATTGTAAGAAATTTTTATTAATGCAAAAATTCTTCGAGTTGACTGATTAACAATACTGCAATTTTTATAGAGTTTTAAATATCAAAAATCCATATAGAATCTTACCTGAAGTATGAAAGAGTTTGCACCCTGGCCTTTGAAAACTGCAAATAAAAAATTTTTTTGCATACATGTGAGAATAAATATCCTAACCATTCCCCTAAAATGTCGGTTCGGGTTCGGCTGTTAATTGTGCCGTCTTGACTGCCTACTTGTTCGGTTCATACGTACGTAGTAGTCAATCAGGCGATGTCCGATAATTTGTCTATTATGCCCTATTGTTTAATTTGTATCAGTTGACGCCATTCATTTTTGGAACACTTTGTATTCTATAAAAAGACACAAGAAAATCAGCAAGGAACATGATTACCGTATAAGATAAAAGTTTGCTAAATTTTATATCATAAACGTTTTGTATACCTACTAAGCCGTTCAGTTCGGGACCATCTCAGTCTAAACCTCAGACATTTCAGACATCTCAGTCCAGAATCCAGTCATCTCAGTCCTTTAGTCAGATATTAGTAAACAGGAAAAGATGTTCGTAGAATCGATTGCAAGACATACCACCTGGACAAAAATTTTAGCATCTAGTAAACCACGACATTATAGGTAACAACAGCTGTTCATACACATTGCTGTTAATGCTGTGTTATTTCGTTTAGTTGCGAACGACCATCAAATTGGTTCTCAGAATCTCAGATTTTACATAACTGAAAGGAATTGACCTCTATAGAATAAGTAGCAAAAATCAAATTTGCTAAAACTATCCAAATACACGTATATGAAATAGTGCTTTTCACATTATTAAAACTTACCTTAATAACAGTGGTCTGCTGCTTACTCCAAATTGAGCTTCCAAAACATTAACCTTTAAAATTTTATATTTTATAGGAAGTAAAAAATCAGCCTCGCACGTTTAAAACTTCTCTACTAAAGAACCAACATCAAAATTTACCAGACCATTGAAAAGTTATCAAAAAAGTTTTCAAACCAGAAAATTTTAGTAAAGAAAACATTACCTAAACTGCGCATTAAACGAACGGAATGATAAATAAAGTAACAAGGCACATAGGACTCTTAAAATGACAGCCAAAATCGTGTTCCAGAACCATTGATACTAGATTTAACATTGAAACATGGTTCCATTAGTAAAAGTGAGATAAATACCAACTTTGCAAATATTTTGAAAGCATTTACCTTTGACAAAAAGTTAGTTGCAAGAACTACTTGTTCCGAAATGATAAGTTTCCAGTCCTTATTCCAAAGTTGTTAAAGATTATATTTTAAAAACCAGAGTAAAATTATCAAGTAGAAGTAAGTTTTCCGCCTTACTATTACGATTTGTCGAGCCCTTCGGGTCAGAGCTGGAAGAGAAGAAGCAATCACGCGTAATAAAATGTATAACAGAATAAGTTTTGATTAAAACGAAAAAGGGAAACAAGGTTCAAAGCACTAATTAATTATGTTACAATCATTTGTTATAAACAATACATTGCAACAAATATTGAATTATATAGGGTTAGGTTATGTAATAAACCATAAAACGTTTATATAGGATAATTATATATGGTATGATAAATTTGGGGGTGTGTTGTACGATACTGTTATCTAGGCAGTGTACATTAATATTTACGTCTATTTTTTTCTTTTATAAACCAATTACAAAGCAGTCGGTCTCGCAACTCCGTCTAATAATGTACGCGTCTTTCTTAATCTACGAATCGGGCAGTACATATAGAATAATTGCAAGCATTCTCAGAATATTATGTAAATATTTTGTAGATCATATATCGTAGAAAGAAACCCGTAGCAACTTATGATTGTGAAGAATGCATTCTCGTTCTGCGTGTATCACGTATTAACTACGTATGTGATTGGATCCAACAGAAACATGCAACGCAGCCGCAATAACTATTATTATTACGGAACCGGATTTTGCGATACGATTATTTTATTAGGGGATATTAATATCAAATATGCATAAGTATTTGATTTGGAAGCTGTACAATGTTTGTGCATTTGTTTCATCAGAACTATTATTATTACGGAACCGGATTTTGCGATGCGATTATTTTATGAGGGCATATCAATATCAAATATGCATAAGCATTTGATTTGGAAACCGTACAATGTTTGTGCATTTGTTTCATTCAATGGACATTCACGATTGATCAAGACTCGGTCGAAATTCTTTCTCACACGTATTGTACGCTCAGACGCATACTTATTATTTACCTTCTTTAGCAGGAAATGCATGCATAATTGGTTATCTATTCGTCATATTCTCTTTAAACCATTGAGCGCATGTCAATATATATCACAACAATCGCTATCATGCGCCGCTAATCACTTAAACTCTGATTACAGGAATAGATTTGTCAATGAACAGAATGGCCACAAAAATTGATCCACACTGATGTGATTTCTTTATCTGTATGTGACAAGTTTAGTGTTTGCAACGTTATACCAAAATAATTTCGTTACGTCATATGTGATAATTTTAGCTACATTAAATTCCCAGCAGACATAATATTACAAATTTAATTCTCAGGGGAGGGGCCTATTGAACACTTTTATTAAGCTTTCGCTAGAAATAACTCCTAATTGTTACAACTGATGCACGGGGGTGTTCATTCAGAAGTTACCTAATTGTTCTGATTCAATTTTCCCATATTTGGATTGCGCCACATGTACATATGTTCCACCATTGAATGAACGCAACAGGTTTAAAATGTACTTGTCGGCCCAAGCCAAAGCTGTGTTATATTTGAATCGGCACTGATTATCCGGCGGTTAATATCATCTTGTAGTTATAACTATCAACAATGGCGAGCTGATGTATTGAAATACGCCACGTTTACGATTTATATGGATAAGATGGTACAATGTGCAGTTGGGTGTTAATATGACTTTTTATCGTAGTGGTTGGTTACATAAACAAACTATTGTAAAGGTATCTGAACAATGGCTTGTGTTGATTATTATCGTTGTTACAAACTGTGGCTGTGAAATCTTGTTTACTTGTTTTTTTATTACCCAGGTTCGTTGTCTTATCTCTGATCATGTAAATTAATTCTACCAGTATATACATTAACTATATTATACTATTGTATGTTTGGTTTAGGTTGCTTATCTCTCCCTCGATTACCAATGAATTCAATACGTTTTATAAACATAAAAAAAGAGAGGACTTAATTTTACGCCAATGTGCATCACACGTATGTTTATTGTTTATCTCAGTAGACTAGTTGTAGCAGATGCATTCACGACTTGAACTCCATGTAAAAAAAAAAGAAGTTTAAGGAAATGTAATTAAAAATACTGTTACTGACCGACAACTCAAATGCGTATAGTATTAATATGTACTATGTAATATTGTAGAAATTCTCATGTGACTTCATTCTTGGTTTACTGCTCAATATATTAGCTGTAATACTGTGCAGTCAATATTATTCGGTCCATTGTGTTGACCCGACCGAAACAAATAAACAAACAATTTATGTACATGCTCTATCTTGGACATCTTCTTTTGGTCATATGAATGGTGGTGATTTCCAAAGTGTATACTAATGTTAATAAATGCGTATATTTATTATTATTGGCTTTGAATTTATAATTAATATGATGTAATATTTAGGATATAATGTCCTTATGACTCGAATTAGCATTAACAATCTCCGACATCGCGAAAATATACCATGTGCTCGTGTTACATATGCGTAACGATCGGATTATTACGGCTGCATCTCTCATTGCCCAAGAAACTTGCATTTACGCTAATCCACAACTGTGAGAAGAAAGAGAGAGAGCGAGTTCAACTTGGGGGGAGTTATTACATGCGAGTCTGTATTTCATAGTAAAAATTAGTGCTGTATTTATAACGATCTTCATAATTTTTATGAGAAATACAAATTTAGCTCAGCAGAATTATTCAAGTGACACACACGTGCCAATTTCGGTCAAAGCTGCCATATTGGTAAACGCGTATTTATATTTGGCAAGTTTCATCAGAATTTATCAAGAAAACTACACGATTGTTTTGTTGCGATGTGGACGAGTAGAATCGAAGTCTGTATTGGCGCGCGTAACATAACGCCTTCTTTGATTGATGTTTTGCAATGGAGAATATAGTTGATCACAACTTTGAAGAACGAGGGGTCAGCAGTGTGTTGAGCAATATACCCGCGATCCTTGCAAAAAGAAAAGGGGTTTATAGTCACTTTTTTTATTCTCAATAATAATTTCGAGAAGAGGGTCTCGTGTATAATAATTTAATAATTACTAGGACAATTAAATTTATCAATTAATTCCGAATTATTTTAATAAATAACGATTGCAAGAATTAATGTGTGTATGACATTCATACTCGAAAACTTCATTTCGAAAAGTAACAGATAAACTATTTCTTCTTGTCTTTATCCTTCTTCTTGTCCTTGTCACCTTTATGTTTATCCCCCTTATGTTTATCTTTATCTTTATCCCCCTTATGTTTATCTTTATCCCCCTTGTGCTTATCCTTGTCTTTATCCTTGTGTTTGTCTTTCTCCTTTTCATGGGTAGAATGAATATCTCCCTTCTTATCCTTTTTATCCTTCGAATGAGGATCATGTCCAGTCTTTACATTATGCCCAACAGCGGCCATATAAGAGGCTGCCTCACCATGAATAGGATATGGTGGTGGTTGCGCGTGCCCAGTAGTAGCATGACTACTTCCCTTCTTATCCTTTTTGTCTTTCGAATGAGCACTCTTTACACCATGGACATCGTGTCCAACGGTAGCTTGTGGAATATAAGCGCCGGGATATCCTTGTGGTGGTGGCGGCGGTTGTGCGTACGGTACTGGTGCCGGCGGTTGTGCGTACGGTGCTGGCGGCGGCGGCTGTGCGTACGGTGCTGGTTGCGGTTGCGCGAACCCTATCGGTCCTGGTGGCGGTTGCGCGTACCCAGGTAGACCTGCTGGTACGGGCGGAGGAGGAGCTGAACCATATCCAGCAGGAATCGAACCTCCCGCAGGACCGAGCGAGCTTGGTGCAGTAGGTTGATATTGAGGTGGTTGTTCACCGTATGAAGGATACGATGCATATGCCTGTTGAACAGGAGGTTGGTAACCTAGTCCTTGGCTCTGTAAAAAATTGACATGAAGAGAGAAAAACACGCGTGTTAATAGCATGTAAACTTTATATATATACACGATATCTCTCTTGATGCTTCCTTCCGTACCTTAGTGATGGTCAAATGAATTTCACCAGCGGGAATTCCACTCTGCTGAATATGAATCCATTGGTCGTGGTGAGGTATCTGAGGCAGTGTTAATACTGCATCGCCTGCAATAGTGGGGAGCAAGAGACTAGATCGTTAACAAATTGATCAGAGATCAGCTGAAAATCAAACCCTGTCGATCAGAGATGTTTACCAATGAACTGATCGAGTCCGACGTTTTCGTTATACACTTCGACGTAGAGTTGGTTTTGTCCAGGGTTGGCATGACTGGGGGGCGGGGCGTGTGTGTGTATTAGTATGTGTGTGGGTGGTGTTACAATATCGATGAAGTACATTAGTGACATTCTCATATTTCATAAGTGATTAGAATAAGATGCTGTCGCATATGCAGCACCGACAATTGATCTATTTACAGTGGAAAGTTTGATAACTTACAGCTCTATAGATTGATTCCAGTAAGCATTCTGTCCAGCACCTTGAAGAGTACGAGTTCTCTGCTTATTCTGTCTATCGAGCGACAAGCATACATAAGGGTCAGCATTGCCTATGAGAGTGATGATACAGTTCTTCAGCGGTCAGTTCAAATAAATATTCGCTCAACTGATATTTCAAGCATACATACCAATTATATCGCTGCCCTTCAAATTACGACCCTCGACTATATTGTGAAGAGATGACGTTAGTCAATGTGTTCAGAAGCAGTTCTTTTTCCTGTCTGCCCTGTTTCCTTCCCTCATCTACTTACCTACAGTGACTTGAAATTTCTCTTGGAGCATACTTTGTATGCGTCAATCTCGACTGGACACTTGCCAAGCAATGTGTAAAATATTTATGATACAAATAATTGTTGATGTTTGATTGGTTATGAATAATGACCAATTAAAAAACAATCTTTACATTTTTTCGAGATAAACTTTTGACATGCATGTCCAGTATGTTAGTTTATTTAAAAGTACATATATTATATATATTTCATAGTCGAAGAGTCTTAAAATCGATTGTTCGTTTGAATAATACCATTAATAGGCTAATCATGTATAGAGTCGATATCTTACTTTTTCGAACAAGTTTAATAAAAATAGTTGACGACATTATAAACCCTTTCTTGTCCAACAATAAAATATTAACACATTTAAGCCCCCCTCCCCATAAATCATAAATAAATCTTAGCATAGAAACGAAGTAAACAAATCTTAAACGTAAGGAAAAAAACAACCCTGAACCCTCTACACAAGTGAATTATAAAAATATTCGTTGATTGCGACGACGAAAGATATTTATACACAGCAATAAAAATGCTAAAGTTTAAACAAAGAAGGCGTGAGCGGAGACAAACTAATAATTTTATGAAGTCATAACTGAAAACGATGGTAAGTATTCGAGATTGATGAATGAAAGTTGATAAATTTCTATTCCGATGACATATTCCCTTCAATACATTTGAGTAGTATATGGGTTCACGGCGAAACATTGATACAATTTGCCGTCCGGACCAATAAATGTAAAAGTCTCTGGTTCAAAATAAACGGGAACATAATCAGTGGGCAGGGATGGTGCAAGCGCATTCGGTGGTGAAGGGGGAGGAGTCATGAGTTCACGCGTAATACCAGCCGGTGGTATGAAAGTTGGTGTAGATGATGGTCTTGGTGTGAATTCACTCTCTGGCGGCGACCTAGGATATGGTCTAAAGGAAAGTTGCCTTCTTGGTAGAGTATAACGAAAGTCTGGATATCTGGTTCCATGTAAATTTTTGACATCTGTTGCCAAACGATGATAAATGTCCTTTTCTTCTTGCGTAGACAATGACCACAAAATTGAGCTTGCTTTGCTGACTACACGCATATTTGGACGGTCAATCCACCGACGAACTTCTTCTGCTACATTTTTTCTCAATAACAAGAACACATTTAAAGGCCGTGGCGGTCTACGGCTACCAGTGACATCAGGAACTAGTTCTTCGGGATTATTGATATGTGGAGGAAATATTCTATCCCTATTTAACCTAGAGATGTAATATTCTACCAATTCGAGGTCTACGCGGGTTGACATTGTATTGATCTGAAAAATAAACAACATCTTGGCTCTTTTATATTTCATTTTGGTGGTACTAAAATTTAATATGTATGTATATATTGTTACATAAACAACGTAATACATTTAATTATAATAAAGATAAACGCCTATAATAGCAATTTTACTCATATGGACATAACATGTTATATATTATACACTGAGTTATACTATATGTACAACATAGAATTGTTTCGGCTTTAAAGAACAGTCGACATGTGCTTCTTATTATGTTAACTTTCTGAACGTCACAGTGTTACGGTTGGGTGAGTGTAGTAACTGGATGATTATGGATCGGCAAAGAAATCCGGATTTCTCAATGCTGGCCCTATACTTAGGCCATACCAATTATACCATGACCTTTTGTGCCACAACTGCGGACATATTATATATGGTTAATAAAGCATTGCAATTATTACAATGAAATACTACGCTTTCACTTGCCAATATCTCGATTCCCAAATATATTTCGACACATGACCAACCATTGTCCTTGGCCTTTCTGGTGACATGAAAAAAATAGAAAGTTTCGAATGGCAAATATTAATTCTATTCCTGATTATTAAGTTATTATTATGGCTATTAATAGCTGATATGTTTTTTCTTCGATTTAAACACTGGAACAAATATTACTAGTTCTTCATATTTAATACTACAAATTCGTACTCCCCGACTGCTTACATATCCGGCCTTTTTTCTCCGGCCTTATATATTTGTATGTATTGTTAGTTCCAATTAACTGTTGTTCCCTTTGTTTATGTGCATTGTGTCAAGTTCTTGATACTTTGGCCAACCGTTGCTGTCCGATTACCACATTCCGATCGTCTCGTGGCATGTCGGAAATTTTGAAAAAAAGGGACGTGCGTCTAGGGGCACATTTACCCTTTTCCAACGTCAGGAATTAGGGGAAGGGGGTGGGGAAAGGCCATCTGGAATAGCAATTTTGGAAGAGGGAATGAATGCTTTGAGATGGACATTAGTTTAGGTCAACATAACAATGGTTATGGTGAATGAGTTACGTATATCTCAAAACAACCTTTTTGGGTTTATGTGCCCTCGAACTCTATGTATTTAATTTACTCTGCAGAGTCATGTTTCATGATAAATTGATATGCCCTACCGGATAGAACAATATTCTGTAAGGATTAGAAAATAGCTTTACAGGAATAATTGCAACGCTATTAGTTCGTTTGTCTAGAGAGTAAAAATAAAATAACGAATGAGGTCAAACTAAGGGAGATTTGTGCCGAGAAATTACATTATATGGTATTACTATCGAATGTTTTATTAAATGCAGGAAAAAATTGGATATAAAAATAAGATTAAAAAGGTTGAATACCAATCGTCTGTGGATATCTGTGGATATAGGCAATTATCTTACGCATTCAATGCTTTCTGAATGGGGAATGGGGAGAATGTTATCTCCTGAACCTCCTGAAAACCTATCACTGTAACTCACGTTTACGTTTTACAACTTTTGTTCGGACTTACTTATATATCCATCAATGGTCTAACACAACGAAATACGCAGCAGGTCATGCAATGACTCCGGCTGTGGCACATGTGGTTACATAATAACATACAATACACACAATGGGGAAAGCGATAGGCCTGTAATAATAGTTATTAATAAACATTAAATATGTATTTTAAGAAAGCCGTATACTGCGCTGTGATATAAAATGAATGAGTAAGTGTTTTTGACATTGGCTATTTAAAATTCCTCTATCAAGAGAGCGAGGTGAATCTAGATTTAGCAAAGGGCGTGCAAACCCTCATAATGCTCTCCCTCCTTCTCACCCATTGGATGATTGGCTCAAAATTGATTACTAAGGTCACTGCAAGTGTTTTCATCTTAGAGGGAAAAGAGGAACTTAATAAATAGAAACACATGTTACGTGCAACATAATCTGATATGTTGTATGACGTAGTGCGTGATTCTAGGCAATAGTTAAGCTTACTGCCCATTAACTTAACAACAATCGAGCACGAGTATGATCATCGATTTGCGTATACTTATGTAACACTATTTCTGGTCAGTCTGAGGAAAAAAGAACTGTCGTTAAGATGGCTACCTAATTGATTGGTCGCAATGGCCACTGTGGTTTCACTATCTTTAACATTGTCAGGGTAAATACAATTTTGTCTCGCTTCTTTTAGGTCAATATTTTCTTGGTTTGTTTGTGGTTGGGATATCCGCCGAAGGACAATATTATTCATGGACAATATCTACAGGTTCCAATGTTGACTTTTAATAAATGCTTGACTCTTTGTGGTATACCTTTTATAGTTGTTGTCTCACAATTCTTCTCTTCTTGAAACACAAAATATCATTCGTTTGACTATTGTTCTAATGCGATAATGAGCTACACTTAACGTCAAAGTCTGCTTTCTTCATTGTTTCGGATAATTTAGTAACTACCGAACGATGAGTGGTGCAAACGCAAATTGATGCAATTTTTGTGTTCAACATTATGTTGTTTTACTCGTCTCAATATTTCGTCGGAACCTAATACGGTTTCATTCTCACTAGGAACCAATTTATTGACACCTGTACATTTTTATTCGCGTTATCAATCAAATTCAGCTTTGGAGAGAGAAGAAGAGAAGGGGGTTATTTCCTATGAGGTCCTCGGATATTACCCGTATGAACCTTTGGGTAATTAAGATACCGAATTTGTAAGTGCTACCCTACCTAACTTTTATTGAAAGTCAAATGTGCTTTGAACTGCCAATATGACAGTATTCGCAGAAATTTGTTTTAATTGGCTCGTTTGCGATTGAAACATGACAATGCCCATATACAACAATCTCAAATGCTGGAGTTATGTGTATTTAACAAGCTTCATGCCCAATTTTAACAACTTTAAGTCTCTACTCTCTCCATTCAACAATTGGTACTAGATCCTTAGCAGTCAACTCCTTCTCCCGCCGATCGAAAAGAAGGCATGCATTCGTGGAAATAGAATTGACATAGTACTACGGCGAGGGGTGCCAGCAATTCGGCTGTGCATGTACTATTGCACGTGTAGGATTATGGCGAGCATGCATTAGGACTAAGGATAAATGCGAATACGGATGGGGTCTACCGTAGATATGACGTATACGAAAAACTAATATTAGCGGCGCTTTTTCCGTACGATAAAAGTTTCCATGCGGCTTTCTAATAAATTGCACATTAGAAAGCTTTTGTTATATTTGTTGTACCTCAGTTTGGGACTTGTCTCAGTTCTAGATTGAGATGACTGGGTTCTGGACTGAGATGGTCCCGAACTGAGGTACAACATACCTGGACAAAAGTATTAACTTTATTAATTGTTCAACATTAGTGTAAATTAATATTAATTAAAACTACATTTTTAATGGCTTTTAGTTCAAATTATCGTGAATCTATAATAAATCGTTAATGCCCATTAGCAAGTCTTGGTTCTTCGATTTTTTGAGGTATACTTTCATTACAAGTATCAAATGGGTTGAGAAAAAAAAATTAACTTGTTAGCCAAGTCAATAACCAAACTTAAACCTCATCAAAGGTTTATACTTAAAACTTGGGAAGACTGATTAGAAACTACTTCACCAATAACAACGGCAGCAAATCGCATGTTGACGAAAGCTTGGAAGAACTGCAGATTGCATTGTGGGAAGGGACAAATTTAATTGTTGTTACAGTATATCATGATAAGATCACTGAGTTCTTCTGCATCTATTATAATATCGTCACAAGCGTGGTGCTCTATTATTATTTTTTTTGCTGTTTAGTTGGAAGTATGTCTCAAAAAAAAAAAAAAAAAGGAAAAAAGAAACGAGCGACAAAGGCTGACAAACATAATACATACACTCCCTGGAAGAAAGTATCCGATGGGAGTTTTTTTTTTTAAGTTTATGCAAAATCCAGTGCAATGACCATAAAAAAATTTTTTACATCATTTTGTAGCTTAGCTTTTCATGAATTTGCATGTAAAATGTTGAAGTGTTTAGGAACGATGAATTATTAAACAAAAGGTAATTAAAATTAATTTCGCCGATCTTTATTTTAGTACCGAAATTTGGCTATCCATTTTCAAGATACGTGCCTCAAGCCTCTTCGCATACCCTTAATCAAATTGGAATACGGTTGATGAGAAATCAATGACAATTCCTCTTTCAGAGCAATCTCGAAGTTTTTTGGGCGTTTTTTACGGTTATTTAGCCGCCTTCAGGCTTATCCCAAAGTTGTTCAATTGGAGTAAGGTCAGAAGATCGAGACGGCCAGTCAGGTAAAATCTTGATCTCCTTTTCCCTAATCCAATTGGTAACACCTTTTGCTGTATGCACATGTACAGAAGCATTGTTATCTTGAAAAGCATAATCTTTTCCATTGAATCAAAGACAAAAGATTTTCATATAAAATTCTAATATAATCTTGATGATTCATCTTTACAAAAAAAAAAAAAAAAAAAAAAAAAAAAAAAAGCGAGAATAAGATACACGTTTGTATTTGCTATAATATTTATTTGTATTTGGGTGTGTTTACAAATTTATGTTTAATTTCTTCTTTCGTTAATATAAATTTTTAATCGGCAAAATTGATTTTAATTACCTTCTGGTTAATAATTCATCGTTCAAGAAAGCTAAACACTTCAACATTTTACATGCAGATTCATGAAAGCCTAAGCTACACAAAATGGCATAAAATTTTTATGGTCATTGAACTGGATTTTGCATAAACTTCCCATCGGATACTTGAGTGTATGTATTAACCGTTTGTTGTCTATGAAAGTTGAGACTAAGAGCTATTACAGTAAATCTTAGCATTAGTCAACGTGTACGAACGATAAAACTAGATGGCTCGATACTTCTTGTGATAATGCAATATCGATTTACTTTGTACATCAGGTGACTCGTTAATGTACTTCGCTGCAGATTATCTTATGTAAAAGACTTTCCTGCTCGTGGTCTTGCCTCATCGAAGAGCCCCTGGCCGCCCACCGCTCTCGCAA